GATGTTTGCTGATGCATACATACACCCATGACCTTAAACAATCATTCCCCCCCCCATAGGAGTGTCAGATTGACATTCCAGAAAACAGTCTTTATTCTAGACATAAGAGCATCTGATTCTTATAAGTCACTTTATAGGTCTCTAAAACATGAATGTAATTGTATATGCTTAAATATCTTTGAAATCAAACACCATTCTGTATTGTTCAGGTGGGGAAATTCCCAAACTAGCTTTCTAAGGAAGCTTTTGTCTACTTACAAATATTGTAATTACACATTTTCTACATTAATTGTGGTTAGAAATGAACTAAATGAAAAATAATGGTAATCAATAGAAAACACAAGCTTTGGACACCATGCGAATCAATAGAGAACACAAGCTTTGGACTAGTTAGAAATGAAGGTCGTGGAGCAATCTGCCAAGCTTCGTTGGGAGTGATCATTCCCAATTTTGAAAGAGATTACTGCTAAATTAACCATTCTCTGCCTTGCCCAAGGGTGGAAATGCCCTTTGTTCTGAACTATAAATATGCTGAAGAGGAAATTTGGAGCTTCAAAGCTTCATTTGGTTGCCTACGTTCATTTCCTGAAGTACTCTGTACCCTCTCTCTAAATTTCCATGTATTCAAAGCTAACTGTATTTTCTTTTTCTTCACATGTGTCATTGCCACATTTTTATGTGGGATTGTTAGAGGCATCAGAATGTTATCTTCCTTGTGACTTTAACATACTACAAGGAAAAATGAATGTCTGACAGATATTTGCTGCCTACATAAATGGCGTGCCAATAACTGAGTAAGGAATCCTAGAGGTACAGTGGTAAACATACACTATCGTGTTTTTAGGGGACTGAGATATGGTAGGACAGAAATAAAGGGCTGGAGATGTATGGAATTCTTATGTAGGACTCCATGTTTAGCATGCATGAGGTCTTGTGTTCAATTGCCAATGGTCATGTGTGTGTGTACACACATACCACTACAAACACAGATGAAAAATAATGGTAATAATATATAATCACATATAATCATATATAATATGATCATATATATATCATGATATATAATATAATCATATATAATCATAACATATATACACACACTACATACACATACACACAAAACATGTATGTACACACATCACATGTATATATACACACACACACGTAAGACAGGCAAACAAAGAGACACACATCATAAAATAAGCATGATATTGAAATCACTGAAGTTGAGTCAGGTATTATAGCATATGCCTTCTATTCTTCTATTTGGTATATAGACTTGGGAGGCTCAGTAGTTCAGGGTTATCCTCAACTACATAGTGAAGTTGAGACCAGCCTGAGCTACATGAGACTCTATGTCAAAAATAAGCACACACACACACACACACACACACACACACACACACGCGTGAGCACGCGCACACGTGTGCACACACCATTTTAAAATCCAAGGTTGAGGGTTCTGAAAGCGCATTTTGAGAAGCCAGGGCTGGTGTGAAGAATCTCACATAAACTATTGGATGAAATGACTCCTAACTTCAACCAGAAAAGGCATAAGACTTAGCATAGCAGCTTGGATGGTGACGGGCAGGGGAGTTGTCCTGACAGCCTTAAAGCACCTTCAGCAACAAGGAAAAGCAGAGAGCTCATTAGAAGAGCAAGCCCTTCTGTGCATTTGGGTTTATGACCATACATACTGGTAGACAGGGAGGAGACACTGTGCTCTCCTGTAATGGAATTCTAATGGTGAGCACAGACAGACATAGAAGTTGATTTCTAGCAATGGCAGTGATGTGAAGGCAGAGACAGTTCAGTGCTGCTGCTACTAGCAGCCTGAGTTCTCCTCACAGACTTTGGCTCAGGTGAAGCCAGGATTCTTGACTTAACCACCAAAAGTATTTCAGACTAAGTCATATGGAGGAGAGCTGGCATTTGCTACAAAGAGGTGTCAGCGTAGATTTAAGCATGAAGGTTAATAGAAAGGAAGACCCTCTGAAGCTGCAAGGGGGCATGCATGAGACACTGGAGTGTGGGCTTGGGCTTCTCAAGAAGTGGTGGCCTTGAGTGTCTCAGCTGCAACCTTATAAAAATTGGTGGCTCTTACATTACCTCTCAAATGAATGCTCAAAACCACTTTTATTTGTTTCTTACTTTTCCTCTTTATTTTTGATAAAGGAGATTTTAGAGTAATTCCTAAGGTGCCTTGGTTAGGATTGTGATTTGCAAGGGTGAAACTATGGGTTACAGAGGAAATTAGAGCAAGTCATTTAATGCTGATGTTGTTTTGTGAGAGTCCTAAAACATGCCATACTTACATCTGGGTAAGGAGAAACACCTTTGTGTTTAACACAATTAGGGCTGCTCTCCCACCCTTAAACCTAAACAATACACCTCATGAAACCATCTTAAAGGCACACACCTTTGGGCGAATCTCTGTGAGTTTGAGGCCAGTCTGGTCAGGACAGGCTCCAAAGCCACACAGATAAACCCTGTCTCAAAAAACAAACAAAACCAAAAAACAACAAGAAAAACCAACTTCATTTAGAAAAACAGAATTCTTAGTCAGGCAGTGGTGTCACAAGCCTTTAAGCATTTTTCCCCTTTAAGTCTTTTTTTTCCTTTAAGCCTTTAATCCCAGCACTCAGGAGACAGAGGCAGGTGGATCTCTGAGTTCAAGGCCAGCCTGGTCTACAGAGCAAGTTCCAGGATAACCAGGGCCTCACAAACAAACCCTGTCTTAAACAAAAGCAAAAACCAGGATTGTTTTGAAAAAAAAATCTTTCTACATTTATTTTTTGTGTGTTTGTGCTACATTTGAAGATGAAATATGTAAGTGTTATATAATATTTATTGCTAATATACCTATAGAATCTTTTCTCTCTCAAGCTCCACCCCCACACACACTGTCTCCCTGCCCATCTCCCTCTCTCCTTCCTTCTCAGTGTCGAAGCTTAACTCTCAAGCATCTACTATCTTTTAATAAATTTAATACTTAACAAATTCGTTAGCTGCTGCTTCACTCTGACTTGTCCCAATTATTATCATTATTTTTTCTGTGTCTGTCTTCAAGGGCTATCTTTACCTTCCTGGAGCTCTCTGAGTGGGGACACTCCCCAGGCTGCAGGAGGCATTGATGGTGATCTCCCAGCTGCTACTGCTGCTGACAGTGTGATCCCATGCACCCCATTACCCTTTATTGTCCTCTGTACCTCCCCCTTCTCACTCCCCTTCCACTGTCCCTAATGATTCTCCTTCTACTTTTGTGATCTTACAAAAGAGCTCTGTCAACCCCAGCCATGCCCCACAACTGCTACCTATTCTCCCACATTCAAAGAATGTGAAAAAAAATCAGTATTCTGTCTCTTTTCTTTCAACTCTGTTTGCCCTTCTCTTTTTTTTTCTTCCAAACTTCTTGGGTACATCACAGAAGAAAATAGCAAAGAAACAAATAGGTCTGAATCAAAGATGCCCTGAATCAAAGAGAAAGAGCAAAAATCAAGATTCAAAGTACTGTGGCATTCAAAGAGGCAGAGAATTCTAGTGGCCCATAGGCAAATTGTGCCTTGTCGATTTGGGGGGGGGGCGGTGGTGTAGAAAAAAGGAGAGAGTAGCTTTCTGAAAGAGGTGAAATAAAGGCTTTTCAGGCCCTCGGGATCCCTTGGAGACTGGGATATTACCCTGGCACAGTTAAAGCTGAGTTTTTCAAACTGTTTACTCAAAAAGGCCACTTAAGTTTAACAATCCACCTACCCCAATGAATGCTTGTTTCAAAGATCATAGTTTTAGAAAGGCTAGGAATCACTGGCTGGATTTTCCAACAAAGAATAACATTATTCATTAATGCTACTTTTATCTTTTAAAATTTTGCTTTTACTGCTTGCAGCTTTTTAGAATACTAATAATACTCTAAAACATTTAACAAAATATATAATTAATATCATTAAAATAACAACAACAATTCATAAACAAGTAAAAGTATGTTAATCTAGGTCTGAAACTTAGGAAGCCCTGGCGTCGGACAAAGTGTTCCTGGATGGATTTGCTTGAGAAAGCATTTTTTTTTTATAACATAATGTCTAATTTCCCATGTTTGTAGCAAGGGCATTTCTTTCCCTTTTCCTTCTTATATGAGACCACATTGTGACATGTTTAATATTGATGAGTTTGACCTCCTGGGAGTTATAATATATGCACCCTTTTTAAATACAAATGTTGTCTAATTTATATGGTAAACACATAGAATTTTGGAGATTAGCATTTTAATCAGCTTTAATCTCTGTATTTTCACTTTCCTCTACCTCTCTTTTCTCTGTCCAGAAAGGTCCCACAAACCCACTTTGGGAATGACAGCTAATGTCCTGTTCTTGGAGATGTGCGTGCAACAGACACAGAGTCCGGGGAAGGAACCTTTCCTGAGTGACACACTCACAAACTTTTAGAGTGTGCAAATCTATGATCAACTGTTTAAGAAACAGAACAGTCCATCCATTCAACAAGTATTTGAACTGGAGCCATGCAGAAGCAGGCAGACGTGAGTGCGCGCGCGCGCGCGCGCGCGTGTGTGTGTGTGTGTGTGTGCGCGCGCGCGCGCGCGTTCCTGATATTATGTCACTTCTGACCTGGAATTGAGCTTCAGATTTTCTTTTGTGTTTTTTTTTTTTTTCTCATTGCTGATCTTTGAGGTTTCGTGTAAATATTCTAACATACCACTTCGGAGGCAACATGGTTTATTTTCAAAGTGGGGATTAAGATCCCAGAGATAACCTGACAGGAATAGTCTGTGTTCAGTGATAGTCTGGGCTACATAGAGATAGCTTTCCCGAACCCCCACCCCCTAATTATCAAGTCCTAGAGATGGAAACGTTTTTCCTGCTTGGTTGCGGGAGGAGCCAAAGGGGGCACTGAGGGGGCGGTGGAGGTGGGCGGGGAGCCAGGCCAAGGCTGAGTCCCGTGCAGCCATTGGTGGGGAGTGCGAGCTGAACTGAGCATGTTCGCGCCCGCCAGCCAGGGCCGCAACCACAGCCGCAGGGACGGCAGCCGGGAGAGCCACCGCGCATTATGCAAAGCGGCAGCAGATGTGAGCGGGGCCAGCTGGGCGCTCCTTGGCCTCCCCTCCCAACGGCCGGCCCAGCTGCCTGAATTGTCCCGGACACTCCCCTGGCCTTGGCCAGGGTCGAGATGGCCTGAGTACCCCCAGGCGAGGCGGCGCAGCAGCGGGGTTGAAACATGGGGAACCAGGATGGGAAGCTGAAGAGAAGCGCAGGTGATGCCTCCCACGAAGGCGGCGGCGGCGGCGGCGGAGCGGAGGATGCCGCGGGGCCCAGGGATGCGGAAACCACAAAGAAGGCGAGCGGGAGCAAAAAGGCGCTCGGCAAGCACGGCAAGGGGGGAGGGGGCAGCGGGGAGACCAGCAAGAAGAAGAGCAAGTCGGATTCTAGAGCCTCGGTGTTTTCCAACCTGCGGATCAGAAAGAATCTGACTAAGGGGAAAGGTGCCGGCGACTCGCGCGAGGATGTGCTGGACTCTCAGGCCCTGCCGACTGGGGAGCTGGACAGCGCTCACTCCATAGTCACCAAGACCCCGGACCTCAGCCTCTCTGCTGAGGAGACCGGCCTATCGGATACCGAGTGTGCCGACCCTTTCGAGGTGATCCATCCAGGTGGTCCTAGGCCTGCCGAGGCTGGGGTAGGGATCCAGGCGACTGCGGAGGATTTGGGAACTGCGGCAGGAGCGCAAGATGGACAAAGGACCAGTTCTGGTTCGGATACGGACATCTATAGCTTCCACTCTGCTACTGAGCAGGAGGATTTGCTCTCAGACATCCAGCAGGCAATTCGCCTGCAGCAGCAGCAGCAGCAGCAGCAGCAGCAGCAGCAGCAGCAGCAGCAGCAGAAGCTGCTGCTCCAGGACTCCGAGGAGCCTGCAGCGCCCCCCACTGCCATCTCCCCTCAGCCCGGGGCCTTTCTGGGCCTGGACCAGTTCTTGCTGGGACCCAGTAGCGAGGCTGCAAAGGACACCGAACAGCCACTACCGGTGAGACCCGACTTGCCTGAGACCATCAAGTCCCCGGTGCCTGAGCATCCTCCGTCCTCCGGAGGCCACTTGGCCTCTGAGACACCCGGCCACGAGACTGGCCACTCCGCAGTCACAGACTCGCTCTCATCTCCAGCCTTCACATTTCCTGATGCTGGGCCAAGGGAGGGCGCAGCCGGAGCCCCAGTGCCCGAAGCTGGGGACACAGATGAGGAGTGCGAGGAGGATGCCTTTGAGGATGCTCCCCGAGGCTCTCCAGAAGAGGGATGGGTCCCAGAGGTGGGAGAAGCTCCAGAGAGGCTGGAGGAAGAGCCGGAGGAGGGGATGCGAGGACCCAGTGTCTCTGCAGTCGCTTCTTTGCCTGGAAGCCCTGCGCCCAGCCCACGATGTTTCAAACCTTACCCACTCATCACCCCCTGCTACATCAAGACCACCACACGGCAACTAAGCTCGCCAAATCATTCCCCATCTCAGTCCCCCAACCAGAGTCCTAGGATCAAGAAACGACCGGAGCCTTCCGTGAGCCGGAGCCCCAGAACTGCCTTGGCCTCTGCTGCGGCCCCAGCAAAGAAGCACCGGTTGGAAGGCAGCCTTGCCGGTGGCCTTAGCCGCTCAGCGGACTGGACCGAGGAGCTAGGCGTCCGTCCACCCGGGGCAGGAGGCTCTGCGCACCTGCTGGGGCGCGGGGCTACTGCGGATGACAGTGGTGGCGGGTCCCCTGTGCTGGCCGCCAAGGCCCCTGGGGCTCCAGCGACAGCTGATGGCTTTCAGAACGTGTTCACAGGTGAGCACGCCTGCCACGTAGCTCCGGGTGGCAGGTCGCCTGCCAATCAGTGCCTTCCTCTGCCACCCCGCCCCCTCTGCGTTCTGTAAGGCCCGGCCTGCTATTTGGAGATCCTTTTGCCACCAGGCATGTCTTGGGTGTGCTTAGTCCTCTATTCTCTTTCAGAGTTGTGAAAAGAAAAATTTCGTTGTATGCTCTATGTCATCTCAAGGGAGGACTGTTATGGTCTCCGCCCCTCCCCATGTCCTCTAGGCATATTAACCCCGTTTGTGTCTGGCTACCTCTGCCATCCTTCATGTCATTCTTCCCCCTTCCATATTCTCACAGTTGTAAAAGAATAGAACTGTGCCTAGACCTTAGCAAGGACTACATTGCAGGCACACGATATTTGTTCTAGTACATTCTATAGGTTATGTCTGACCACCTCTATAGTTTCTATCATGTAGTTACTGGGTACCATCCAGGTCCTTCACGAAGTTAAGTGATTTCCCTCTTTGCTAATGCAAGCAAGTTTGCTATATGCTCTTAGAAAATGAATAAATAATAGACTATTAGTAATCTTGTTTATTTATGATGCTAAGGATTGAAACTAGGGCCTTTTTGCTTGCTAGGCAAGTACTGAACTACTGAGCTGTGTCCTCATCTTCAGGGACTGGAGCTCAGGCTGCGCCCTCCCCTGGCCCAGCCTCAGGAAATGTGAAGGCTGGAAATGAGAGCGAGTCTGTAACTGTGGGTGTGTGTGTGTGCATGTGTGTGCGTGTGTGTGTGTGTGTGTGTGTGTGCGTGTGTGTGTGTGTATAAACTTATCTTATTTTGTGCTGAGACTAGAACCTAGAGCCTTCCATTTGTTAGACAAACCCTTTAACAGTAAGCTACAGCGTTATGTGGGGACTACTGAATCATGGTACTGGCTTCCCAAATTTTACTAAGTGAAAGGGAAGTACTAAGAGGAGAGCATTGGGTTCAGCTCTATGGGAAAGCAGTTGCCTAGAATGCTCAATGGCTGAGGCTTTCTGAAAAATTACAGTGTGCAAGAATCTACCATCTATCTAATCTATCATCTGTCTATATTTAATTTAGCTATCAACCACCTATTTATCATCCATCTATCTATCTTATATCATCTATCCAGCATCACATTAGTGAAAGACAATTTCCCAGGGTTTATCTAGTAGAAAGCAGAAATTGGGGTAATAGAACTTGTCAAAGGAGAATTGGACAGATTCCTGATAAATCATAAGACCTTAAATATATTGAAGTTCCCTTTTACAAAAAGTGTTCTTAAGTCTTGGACATCACTTAATTTTGCCAGTAATCTCAAATTTGAAATGTGAAACTCTTCAAGGTGGTATTTGGTAGCATGTGAGTTTTGTTGGCCTCTTTGGGCAGATTTTTGTTATTTTGCACAGTAAAAGTTACATCCAGTCACCCTTGTGTGACAGTCATCTGGCCTGTGTTAGACGGTTGGAAATGGCTGTCACTGGCCAGCAGGTAAGTTTTTGTGTAGCAGCTTCTTCAGAACATTTCTTTCATTCATTTGTTGTTACTCAGAAAAAGAAAACAAAGAGTAGATTTGACTTAACCTGTGATTGGTGGGGAAGTGGAGATTAAATAACTCTCTCAAGGTCATACTGTGTGATTCCTCCCAAGGCAAATCTAGGAGAGGACACTGTCCAGAGTCACCCTTTCTTATTACTAGTGTGTTTGTGTTTGGCACTAGATGAAAACTTATAGAGCAAGAATGTCTGAAAGGTCATTACCTGATCTAATGCCTTCACTGATGAGATATTTCTTGTTTCTCTTAGTAATGGTTGTGTATCTGACCTTCCTTGGGATAAATGGGGGAAAATTATGAGAAAAAACAGGGTTTTTCTTGAGCCAGCTGTCATGGAGACTGCTATGGGGTCAGAGGGTCTCCATACAGACTCTTTCCTTGTTACCTGTCACTCTCTGCAGCTTTTCATCCTCTGTAGACTTAGCATCACCCGGGAAATTACCCCGGACTGAGGGAGCACTCGGACAACATTCCCTAAGGAGTGTTGTCTTTAGAGAACTAGGTATTTGGTCTTAGTGTGGAGTTCTTTAGACCAATTAATTCTAGCTGCCTTTGAGTCAAGAGAATCTAGTATCTATTTGCTTTCTTTCATTCCTTATCTTTATATCTCTGGAGAGGGGAGCAGGCATTTCTCTTTTTACTGCATTGCAAATATAGGGAAAAATCATTTAAGAGAAAATAAGATTTCCATGCCCACGTTTGTGTCTCTGGTAGACATGAAAACCCTTATCACTAAGGTGGTCTCAATTTAGTTGTAAAGAAATTGATGGTATCGTAGGGCATTCCATTTCAAAATTTCATAGTTAATTTATTTGAAACATGTCTTTTTTTGGTATTTAATATGAAGAATTTGAGAGGTTTCTTTTTGAAAAGTGGTCGTGGTGTCAAACTCAGCACCTCTTTCACGCCAAGCAATATAACTGAATTAGTTTCCTAGCATAGTAGTAGGGTGCAGTTAATTAAAGTTTGGACATCTAATATATTGAATTTGTGATGCTAAATGACTTTTGATAGAAATCTTTCCAGTCAATTATGCACTTAATCTGTCCCCTTTTTAAATGCATGAAATGAAAGTTCCATCTGCTTTTTAAAAGGCTTCCTGTCACCTTCAGGCACATCATTGTGTTGTGAAAACACTGGTGTTGCCCTCTGGAGTGGTTTAAATGTGTTGACCAGAGGCCAGGGTCTGCTGTTGCTTGAGATCTTGTGTCTCTGTAGTTTCTTGACTTCTTCTTGGCTATCACTCATTTTATTCTTAGCTTTATTTGCTTCCCCAGTCTCCCAAATACCTTATAATTTGATTTTTTCTAATTAATTTGGTTTTACCTGGTAAAAGTTTACAATTATGATATTATCTGTATTTACTGTGCTTCCTCTGGCTGCCAAGCTCTGGGATGGTGCATTACATAATAAGTATGTGCAATCTTTACCATAGTTTGAAGTACACCTGTGCCTAATCGTATTTCCTATGAACAACCAAGGCTCAGACAAGTCAAAGAAACTGATTGAGAGAACTGAGCTAGTAATCCCCATCTAGGGTATGCCCTTAAATAATAATAAAAAACCAAGAAAACAAAAAGCAAATCACTTGTTAGTGTGTAAAGAACAAAGCCAGGCAGACCCCTGAGCTTCTCTGAAGGACTAATTGACAAAGGACTCCAACTCTGTGACTCCCATTGTGATTTTTCTAAGGGTTTAGTAGGAAGAAGGGGACCCCTCTGTGAGTGTGCATTTTGTCACTGGGATCTTACGACAACATTTCCTTTTCCTGACAGTATCTCATGAACCTAGCCTTGAACTTGAACTCCTGGTCCTCCTGTTTCTTAAGTGTTACAAAAACAGACATGTGCCACCACACCTGGCTCTACCCCTGGCTTCAATACAGCTTTTTAAACCATAACATTGAAAATTTTACAGCCCAAACAGTCTGATAGCAGTAGCCCCTGACAGAGAACATGGCCGGTTAGTTTCTGAAATACATGAAGATGTTTTGAAAATTACTATGTTGCTTGGCTGGGCATGGTAGCACACTCCTTTAATCTCAGCACTTGGAAAGTAAGGAAAGTAGATCTCTCTGAGTCCAATGTCAGCCTGTCAGTGCAAAAACAAAAGCACCCACCCACCCCAAATGAAGAAAGACAATGATGTCATTGATCTAAGCAAGGAAATGGGGTGCTGGATATTGTTATCGGGCTCCAGACATTAGAAAGAATTTGACAAGAGAAGCTGTGACAAAGAGCATTTCTCTTAAGCCATTTTAGTTTTGTCTGAAAGATTCTTTAGAACTGTGGCTTGGAGCAGAGTGAAATGTCCCAATGGCTTAGGTGATGCCTTATGACCCGAAGATTGGCTTGGTTTTCAGCTCGTTTAAGCACTTGACTTTTAGCCATGCACTTTTGAAATGGGTGCCTTGAGTGTGTTCCCTCCGTATTCTCTTCAAAAGTTGCTGAAACTGTGTTGAATGATGGTTTTTATGAACACTGCTACCCCGTTTGCTTGCTTCCTAACTATATCATTTAGCTAAATGACCCTCATGTGGTTGCTCCTCCAGTATATGACTGTTGAGGCAGTTTCACACCAAGATGCAATGAATCTTAACATTGACTGTTAAGATTCAATGACATGACATAATATAATACAGCCACTACTGCAATGCCTGGCAAAGAGCAGGTGTTTAATTGGTGTTGATTGATTTCCTCAACTGACTTGTTTTTTTTTTTTATGTTTCATTGTTCAAAGTGGACAGAGCCAAATGTGTGGACATAGAACCAAACAGTTCTGAAATTATAGTAAACTTGAGAGGGCATACTTTATTCAGCTATGTAATGAAAATATTTCTTTAAAATGCTTTATTTGTGCAACATGTTTTCTATCTTTTTCTTTCTATGATTATAAGCATTTTTGTCACTTCAGCTTTCGGGGGGTCCAGATAAGGATGGTGAGGGTTTGGTTATGAGGATGGGGGAGATGCTGTTTACTGAAGGTAATGTGGGAGCCCAGCATGGTGACTTAGGCATGTAATCAGCAATCTAAAGCAGGAAGGTTGTCGCAAGTTCAAAGCCAGCCTGGACCATATAATCAGCTCCAGGATAACATGGGCTACATGTGAGACAGTCTCTATGAAAAGCACCGAAGCATCTGACATCCCATTCAGCGTTTCTGTTCTGTTCAGTATCTATCAGCCATCCGAGTTTTCACTCTTCTCCCCCCCATGATTCCCTCATTATAAGGTCGTCACTGAGACAGATTCACATAGCTGCTGTTCCTTGAACATTAGTTTCCTTTTCTAGATCTCAGACTCTGTCCTGCAGTCTCATGTTCTTAGAAGCACAGTTGTGTCCCCTCCCCACCCTGCACACCCCCCCCCAGCATGGTGAAACTCATGTCCTCTGTGTCCTGTCAGCTAGCCCAGGCTGGATCCAGATCACTGTCTGCGCATGCTCTC